GCGTTGCGCCTAAGGCGCCGGAGAGCCGCATTGTTCACCCAACCAGGACCATAGAGTTATGGGTATGCAATCCCAAACACCAAAAGTGTCGTGGGCTAACTAAGCCTACTATTTAAGGGGTCATGTTCAATTGCGGTTAGGCTTATGATTCCTCAGATGTTTAGCTTTGCTGCCAAAATGCGAGTGGCACAACTTCGATGAGTCCTGGTATACTTCAATGCCCAGTTACCAGCCCTACAGGCAAAAGACAGCAAAGACCTTGGCTTGGCCTTGTCACACCCATCCACACCCTAAGCCAGTCTGGTGAGGGCTCGTTAACGTAGTTCGTCCGTAGCATCCCATGGCAACACGCCATGCCCGAGTGGTGCGGAGCGGAAGGCAGTGTTGGACTTGGGGTATACCGGTAAGGAATAACAGCCCCTTCTGCATTACAGCATAGGATGGGAACTTGAAGAGGACGTATTGTCTTGCATGAGCTTTCAGGGTGAGTATTAGAGGATATGATGTGAGCGGCGGACTTCGCAGGCCTCATTTTGCTTTGCGCTTGTATCAGGAGGATATCGTCTTCCGAGGGTCTTTTTAGAGTCATCTTGGATGTTTGCCGTAGAAACTTGAGAGTCTTCCGGGTAGTGAACATCCCTGAGGGTCCTCGAACTGTGGCTTTGTGCTGGAAAGGGGCAAGTATGGAGGTTTACTTTTTCCGCTGAGGCTCCAACCAAGGTAGGTATCAGTGGTCGACTTTGGGGCCGGCTTTAGGTATTCTTTAGAGACTTAGAGTCCAGGGCTTGAGATAATGAGAGCTGCAGAACGCTTCTGAAGGTAATTTGACAGCCGATGCAGTCAACGTGCGCGATGAGCTGTGCCGTCTGCCATGGGCTTGGAAATGTTGATGTAGTGGTTTCCAGAATTTAGGGGTCTCTAAGGGTTTCCAGGGGTGTTCATAGGGGTATATGGGATAGGCACGATTTAGAGTCCGTCCTCCTTTTCGGAACTCCCCGTGATAAGGTTTGTGGCATTGTCTGGTCCTCCTGTTTCTGGAAATCCCATGTGGAAAAGCGTAGGATTTGTGAGATTCTCAGTGTTCATAAACAACGTTTGCCTTGGGCTATGAAGCGTTCGCTCATTGCCTGTTTGAGGGCTGCTGGCAGGTTTAGGGGACAGGAACTTGTGAACATTGGTCTGCTCTAGATCTACTGCTGCGACCATTTGAGGGGGCCATCAGCACTTCTATGTTGGCAGCAACTGCCGAAGGCTACGAGACCATGGCGGCGGGAGTCTACTGCGAGGTTGGAGGCCTCCAGCAGCACGCCGCGCCAAAGCAGAAGGTGTAACAGTAACGTTTCTCAAAGCAAGGGATCCTGGCTGCTGGAAGACAGCGGAAACTACCATAGAACGAGTACAATAGCTTCGAGCCGCTTTTGGCTAATGGAAAAGAAGATGAAAGCCATAGATTTTGCAAAGGGATTTACAAGTTGTGCTGGTTTCAGAGCGCGCGCGCGCGGGGGGGGGGGGGNNGGGGGCATACGATCTTTTATCTGGGGATGAAGTGGGCTCAAGGTTGAGGAGTTGTGTGGGCTTGCGGCCAAGTTGAAGGCTTCCCCTAAGGGTGTGACATGAGGAGTGGTTGACTTTACAGATTTCAATATTATAGTTTTTACTGGGCCCCGTTGCGGAGGAACTCATGTTCATCAAGGGTGTTGTGGGAATTGCTTTAGATGTATGGCCACCTGGGCGGTCCTGGGACAATCTGGGTAGGATTTGGGTGTACGATGACACTGCTTTTGCGCAACATTGCGTGTTCCCCTTCTTGTGGTTTGGCAAGTGAAGACCCTCTTGACTTGGGCCTTGGAATCATTCATGTGCCGGCTCATTTTACGACGATAGGCTGTACCCGCAGTATCACCCGCAGTCGACAGTTCTCCGTAGACCCTTTACATGCATGTAGATACCACATATCATGGCCCCAGCAGAGGTGGCAGAGATGGACAGACAAGATTTCATCCCCGGGGAGAGAGATGGCAGATGTGTTTCGCAGCCCATGTATGAACTACAACAAGCTATGGACCCCGCAAAGCTGCAGTGCAACCGCGACAGCCCAGTGCCAGTGCCTGGGCTGACTTCTGAAAGAATAAAGAGGTCAGGGCACGTGTTTCGACAGCTCATTGGTAACACTGTCTTGCATGGTCCTGCGCTTTGCAGCTCCAAAGCCTCCCACTTCACTTTCAGAAGCCCCAACCACGCTTACACAACAACAGCCCGCTGATGCAGGAACGAGTTCGACCACGACTTCCTCCAGAACGTGCCGCTGAAGGCGGCATCCTGTGCTTGTGCTAAGCATGCCCGAACCCAACACCAACCGGCCTGAACTCACCACTCCACACTCAACATTTGCTGCAAGCCTAGACCCCAACCAGAATGCGTGACACCGGGAAGGCGTTTATTCGCTTCACAATGCCCTGTTGCAGAACCAGACTGGCCGGCTAGCCATCTCTACATACCATTGTGAAGATCGCAGTACCTGTCTATTTTCATGCCCTCAAGGCAGGTGCAAGAAACTAGATGCTTACTCTTGGTAACTCTTGTTAGGGTTGTTCTTCCCTTAAGGCTAAGCCACGCTTTGCATGATGGTGCGTCGTTCGCCTGTCTGGAATCGCACGCGAGCTCAAAGCCTATAAATTTCAGTAGTATAAGTGGTCTTGTCTGGTCTTGCACCGACTACCTGTATGCTTTCTCTATTCACAAGTCTGAGTTGCGCTTTGATTGAGAAGGGCTGGAAGGTCCTCCTACTCCAGTATAGGTTTAGGTGCAGTCTTGCATAGGGTTGTACAGCTAGGACTATCCGAGTGGTGACTGTCTTGCGGTACTTAGACCTGTGCAGCACTGATAACTATCCAGGAACTGTGTAAGAATGATGTCCAAAAGATGAGAGGGACCTCGCGCTGTTACGATTACCGTTGTCTCTTGAAATTTTGGGCGACCATTGGCGCGGCAATTCGTAAGTTTGGATTCTGGCTGCCAGGGGTAACGTATGTCTGAAATGGGTAAGTGCGAGGTTGCAACTTTTAATTGCAAGCACTCGTTCAAGAGCTTAGTTACCAGGTAAAGAATGTCACAGTTCCATGCAAGACCCGGAAGCCCCACCATCCCAAGTCATGGTTGTTGGAGAAATAGTTTTGGTAGAGAGAATCCACTAGTAGCCAGCTAATACCTTCTTCTAGTAGCGTATGAATTCTGAGAAACATGGCATACGTGATAGTGTATTATATATGTATTATATTTATAACGCAGGCGCTTCACAGTATACATGTCTAGGGCATGTTGAAAGTTGTGCTCCTGCAAGGAAGTCCTTCGTGTCACAACATCCTTTGGACTGCAGTTCTCGGAGGCTTCCCGTCTCCTTCACAAAGGGTCCAAGTATCTAATGATTGAGTCCCTTTGATGGGGTATACAGATACATACACACACATATATATATATACATGTGTATACAGAGGTTTTAGGGTGTGGGGTCTATAGGGTTTAGGGCCCGAAGGGTCCAAGTACCCAAGAATTAGCTAATGGGGTTTTGGGAAATATCAATTATAGTGCAGGCTTTGGGTAAGCATATGAGGTTGTGAAGATCAACCCTACAGCGCTCTAAATTGCCCAAAGTAGATATTCTTTCAGACCTTATGGCCCAATCACTGTAATTGGGCATTCTTCACAGCACTTTAGAGGGCAAGAGTGGACCTCAAGTCTGCGTCCTTGTTGGAAGAGCATGGGAGCCGCACCAAACTCTTGATACTCTCGGAAACCCATTGCATCATCGCGGGATGATCGTAGTTCCTGTCGGAGAACAAACTTTCAATCTGGGCCCTCAATGATCGAGGTATCCTAAAGTTCGGGCTGCTTTTCCATTGTTGGCAGCCATAAGAATGAGCTAGAATGCTCCTGTGCTTCTTGTGGAAACGCCTAAGGGGGTGGAGCTTAATCCAATTCCAGTCTTCGCAACAAGCCTGTTTCTGGAGATCATGGGTCCGGAGGGTTACATGAATCCTAACGTTGGGAGTATACAAGGGCCATTCTGTTTGCTGAGGCGGAACTAGTGAGTTCGTCAAAACGATTCCAGCATTACCCTTGAGTCGGACCCCTACATTCCTTTTCTAATCTCAACATTGGGACAACACAAGGGGATTTCTCTGTGTTGAGTTAGAATCAAATCAGAGTTTCCCAAAACAGTCCCAGCATTACACCTGCAACCCCTTTCTAATCCCCATACACCTCTGGGGGTCCCTAATGGCCCACAAGCCCTGAATCCCAAACTCCTTAACCCTGGACCTTTTCGAAAACCCCCTAAACTTTCCCTAAGGGTCCAAGTACCCAAATATTAGGGTCTCAGGTACCCTAAAGCCTTATTATTGGAGTACTTGGACCCTTAGGGTTTTCTTGGAGGATGACATCCGCAGCTTCCTGGAGCAGGTGAGCAGTGTGGGACTTATCCTCTCCGCAGCTGCAGACTGTTATATAGGGTTAGGGGTTTAGGGTTATACTGGAAAATGGAAAATACAATGGAAACTACTATATATAGTGTACTGGGGTAATATTGGGGTACTATTGGGGAAGCTACATCCCCATGCCGAGGCCGGTGCTTGTAGTAGAGCGGGGCGGTGGGGCGGGTTGCGGGCAGTATGCCTGGTGTGGACGGTGGTAGCAGTGTGTGTGGTGGGGGGAACCTTCATGCTACAGATATGAAGAGTTCCAATAGTGTAAGTGCCTCAGTTGCTGCAAGACTTCCTAGGATCCCTGGAGGCCCCCAATCGGTACTTCAACAACCCCTATATAAAGATCCAAATAGCCTAAAGTTGGTAGTATGTATAGAGGCTCGGGCCCAAAGTAAGTATGATAGACTTTGAGGGCCCCAGGGTAGCCCTAAGACCCCAAGAGCGTATAGCCCCCCAAAATCTTCAAACCCTTACAAACTTCTAAAGCCAAAGCCGTGCCCAGTTGAGCCCCCCCATTAGGCACCGGCATGCTCACGGTGATGGACCTGGACCGCCAGGCCTGACTACCGAGATGGGTCCTTTTAGGCTGTAGGGACATGGGGATTAGGGTGTCGGGTATAGGGAATAGGGTTTATAAGGCTTAGGGTTTAGGGTTAGGGTTCACACTCCTACGGTTGATACCAAAAATCCTGCATGACCCTAAGTACCTTATACCTTGGGAATTATGGTATTATTGTATATTAGGGTCATGCAGGATTTTTAGCATCAACAGTAGTATCCCCCTTCATAATCCGCATGGTAGTACTAGTCCCTATAAAATCCCTCATATTAATATAACCCCCCTTTAGGGAGTTCAGATTCTGGCTCATGTGGTAATGGGCTTGGGGCTCAGGATTCAGGATTGGCCAAACTTTGGGGTTTAGAGTGCGTGGCTTCCTGCTTTACATTTAGGACGTGCGGTTTAGAATTTTTTGTGTTTGAGTTTAGACTGTAACGGTAGGACCCTCAAATTCAGAAGGGTACTTAATTCAAGCAGTGAACAGTTGTAGAAATTCTTGTGTAGCTTCGCAGGGATCTATGGGCCTTTTTTCGGTTTTTTCCACATGTAAACCCCAAGCCCTAAATGTTTCATATATCCCTCGAGATACCTTATAACAGGTATGTCAGAACGTACGGATACTTGTCCTTACTCCGGCTTAGTAAGGAATGAGAGAAAAATCCCTGTACAACCCCTATATAATATGTTCCCATATTAGCCACTAGCAAGTCTCGTGTAGGAATTGTCCATCTATTGCTTGGTATCCGAAGCCCTGCGCGGCATCTCTGAAGTTTTCAGGAGCGGCTTAGCATTATGCCGCTAGTACATCGCATGTCAACATTGTTCTTATAGTACTTCAGATCAAAAGGATGTTGTCTGCAGCTTGCTATTTATTACTAGCATTGCTCCCGGTGCAGCTTTCACTTCCTGAACCCTGAGCGCATGCGGGAGGCCGCCATAGTTGCCACCCGCTTCAAGCGCTGGGCGATGACGCACGGACCGGTAAGGTCAGCTTCATAAGAGGAACTGGAAACTGGAGTGTTTGGATTTTGGATATGTTGTGAAACCTCGGGATGTGAGGGAGGGACGAGGACACCGTTTGGGACTACAGGACATTCTGACAAACTCCCAAGTACCAGGTAAAGAGTGCGCGGAAGGTCTTGAGAGTAGAGATGCGTACTGTAGACAGGACAGCTAGCATTCTGTGATGGTAAATAGTTGTTACTATCATTGCGAGCAATCACTGCTTCACTAAAGGGAGAGCTGGCTTGTGCTGAAAGCGTTACATTTCAGGTTCTACAGGGTGGGAGGTTGTGTGCATGATGGTCATTCCCATGCTACAAACAAGAGCGAAGCAGCACCAGTCCCACTGGTCATTGGGATACGAATGCAGAGGAAGACTTCGAACAGCTGCGGCAGTAGTAGCCATGAGGGTTGGTACAAATACATCTGAACTCGTAGCTTTTGGCGTGTAGGTTTGTAGAATTTCAGACAGCATGCTGGCATGCGCATGTACATATGTAGAGAAATGTAGAGAGATTAAATTTGGCTTCTGTTGTTGAACCTGCAGGCTCGTAGTCTGCGGGTGCTATGGGCTCTTGGTTAGCTGCGAAATATGGTTTGTGAAGGTGGGTTGTTCTTGTTCGTTTCGCTTGATACACGGGCTAATGTGGTAGTTTCCCAAAATGAGCGAACCCCAACATAGACCAATATACTAAGTCCTTATTATTGGGACCCCCAAAAAGGTACCTCATAATTTGGGGAAACCACCATGTAGATTTTCTTGGCATTATAGCGAGCGTGTAAAGCATCTGAGGGTGCTTTCTTTGCCATTGCCAGTCGCTCTTTGTTGCAACATCCCGGGCAGATTAAATATAGGGATAGTATATGTGAGGGTTACATAAGGTTATATAGGCGTTATGTAGGCTTACATAGGGACAATGTAGGGGGTTTATATGGTGACATATCGGGATAAGGGAAAAGAAAATGGTAACTAATCTACCCTTAGGGTTTAGGCTGTAGGAATCATCTTAGGTCCTTAGCAGAAGCATTCTGGATCTGGAAGGGCTCCCAAGTGGCTGTATTAGCTCTCTTTTGGGTTCTGTCCACCATCTGCAGGCAGCTCTTCTTTGGTGCGGACAACGTCGTTGCGCAGCTTGGAAAGGCACCATGCAGGGGGAGTAAAAGAGTTTGCGGCAACAGTCGTTCAAGAGGACATGCTGGTCCAGCATGAAAAGACAGACAAGTGGTTGAGTCAACAAAACACAGCAAGTTACGCTGCTCCAGGTGGTGTCCTTCACCGAATTCGTGGCGGTGTGCCGCAGGCCAGGGCGTCGGGAGCAGCCAGAAGACTGCCAGCAATGTTTTGAATTGCAACTGGTGCACACTGCACACTGCAGAGTGGCAGTAGACTGGTATAGCTTTCCCCTCAAGGGACGCAATAGATTTGGGGGAACAGATTCAATGTTAAACGAGGGGGGGTGTTGAAGGCTTCACTAATGACAGATACTTGCATAAAAGGGGTTGTATAGGGATGATATAGCGGAGTATTACAGGGGCGATTAAGGGGAATACTAGGAGTTTAGACTAAAAGTCATAAGAGGTTTGATTATCTGGAAACCCTAAGGTATGCAGGATTCTAGCCCTGTTGAGATTTCTTAGGGACTTTCAAGATGGGACCCATTTTTCACGAAGCGATTGATGCGTGCAAGTGTTTTAAAGGAGGGTCCTGATGTATTACTCACCCTTGTTCCCTTGGAAGAATTCCATCACACGTGGACCGATAGTAGCTACAATCCAGCAACTAATGAGCTCGGCCTTTGTAAACTTCCAGCCGGAAACTCTCAGCAAAGATACTAAATGGATTTGGCTGGGGGTTGACTTGACAAGTAGGTACGTCTTCGACATGTTAGTCTCCCGTTGCAGTGCCCCAGTTATAATCAAGTAGCCCATTCCCCGATTCACTACTAACCACCAGGGCTTACACAGGACTGGGTTGCTGTTAAGGAACTTACATTGAGTTACCATAATGGGTATATATAGTAAATAATATCCCCAATATAATAGTAACTTAATTTACGTTCCTTAACAGCAACCCAGAGGACTATCAGCAACCGTGAGAATGTCCAGGACCGGCTTAGAGGCTTCGGACGAGGAATTCGTGGAGATCTATGGTGCGCTTACCCAGCTCAGAGTTCGAGGTTCGAGGGCTTGGGGTTCAGAAGGTGTTTGGGGTTTGGGGTGTGTAGGTTTTCGAGTTTGTGGTTTTGGCTTCAGGGATTGGGCCTCTGGCGCGTCTAGGATGCTGCGTGAGGCATGCATCACAATTCTACTTGCCCACTTATATATTACTCATGATCGAGGGTCCTTGCAATCACGCGAGAGATCTTGACCTCTAGATCTCGTAGCTCTATAGTGCTAGACGTCACCAAGAACGGATAGAAGGAGCAATTTGAGAGAGAAGCTTAGTGAGATTGATATCAGCGCATACCCGCCCAAACATGGTGTGACTGCCAGGCTGAAGCTTTGCCTACTCATAATCCACATCTTCTGAAGCTGCTGGTTCCTACCTTGAACTTGGACACTTTGTCCAGGCCTCCTGAAGGATTTGGGGTTAGTAGGGCCATGGAAAGCATCAACAGAGTTTCAAATCGCGCTGTGAGCGATGCGTTGACACTTTTTTCACCTCCAAAGTAGCTCTCAGGACTGATGGCTGCAAGTTCAGGCTTCCCTGGACTCCTGAAGAATTTGGCGCTTGAGCAAGGCACTGCAGCATCTTCACTGGCCTAAGGACGAGCGCAACGTCAAGTAGTAACTCCCTGTACCTATGAAGAAAAGCCTACGCACTTGCCATAACAGACCCCCTCCTGAGCCTGGAGCGTCAAGGCATTTGCGACCCGACTGAGTCGGGCGTGCGACCGCTGGATCTCTTGCCTCGAAGCTCACAATGGGTTTTGGGGTATAGGGAGCTAGGTTTCAGAACGAGCTTTGGGGCTTAGAGCGTTTAGGAGTTTGTGCTTCGGGCTTGCTCTTCACAGGGTTTGGGGAGTATGGCTAAATTCATCTCCAATTCCAACATTAGGGCAGGCCTTCAGTTGCGAGCAACTGCAAGACCTTATCGAAAGTCAACTTGGTCAACGCGGCAGCAGACAATTTCAGTCTCGTCTGGTTGCATGTCAAAAGTATCGCCAAATCTTGGAAATGACAGTGGGTCGTCTTGCAGCTTGGACCATCACGCCATTGCACATAAATTCTGTACGAAGACCGTATTTTCCCAGCTTTGCCAACTCTGCAATCGGACTGCAAGGAATGCGAGCGCGCAGTCATAGAAATTAAGCGCTCTCGACCACCCCCGGCTTGATATGTCTATCGTGAATAGGTAGACGTCAGGCCAGGGCTGCATGTATGAACCCGATGACAGCCCATAACTTCCAGTGGCATTATTTCCACGCATTTTTCATTTTCCGAAAGGATAGCCCATAGAATTCACTCCTTGGGTTATGAGGCCAAGTAAGCTTGTCTCCTTTAGAATAGGAATACATGAGCTTGGCGGAGTCAGTGAAGCTCATGTTATGAGGTTCCTCGAGCCTGATCCGCACATAAAGGAGCAAGAGGACCACATGCCTTGGTTGCTAGGGACAAGAACAATTGCTGCCGTAGCCTCCCGGTGGACAGACATTGTAGGCGACATCGGAAGCCGGATGCAGGATAGACTCCCACAAGAGTGCTTACTGTTCCCGCCGGCCACCCCCAACTCCCGAACCGAACACAACAAGCAACGGAGGAGCAGCGGCTGAAAATTCTTCGCATGGGCCAGCGGGACAGCTGCTACAGGGCTAAGCAGAAGAGACGCCGTCAGTGGTGATGTTGGGATTTGGTTCGGGTCCCACATCTGAAAAGATTGCAGAACTGTGCTCTCAGTTCTCAGGGTTTGCAGAGATTCCTCTCTGGTGGGATTCTGGTGGGGTTCTAGACTAGAGATTACATCAGGGCTTGAGGGGCAAGGTGGACCGAGCTTTTTTCTTCCTTCCGAAGGAGGCTAGTGCCATGTAGGGGCCGAAGGAATCTGGCATTAAGGTTTAACGTATGTATATAAGGCTCATAGGGGTGTATCTGCACTACAAATACGTATAGTGTTCAAGGTCTAACTACGTCAGCCCCTGCATGATGCAGACTTACACCTTACCACGAAATGGCCAGAGTTTCCATAGCATCGTACTGCACCGCAGGAACAGAAGCAGCACCTGATGGCAGACGTGTTCCGAGAGGCCCTTGCACTTAAACAATTTCAGGCCTTCCACGAACCCGCCCGACGTGCCCATTCTGAGATCCGAACATTCGCCTCAGTGGTTGGGGTGTAGCATATCCAGAGATCCTCCTAGCTGGCAAGAGTGCTTTCGGTGAAGTTGGGAGAGGCAGGCCTTTGCATGGCTCTGTTGTCACAAGTCATAGGGCGGGCAGGTATGGAAGAGTGAGAGGTTTATTCATGTTACCTCCTGCGCTTTCAGCCAGAAGTTTTGGCATCTATGGGGAGTAGCGAAGGTCCAAGCTATCTGAGCTCCTTCGAAGCTGATACACTCTGCATGTCTATCTACAGCCTTTGCAACACCCGTTTAATGTAATCCTCTTTTGAATGTGCTCCCCCCCCCCCCCTTGCCGGGGGCCCCCATGTCCAGGAAAAGGCGCGGCAGGTCTCGGCAAAGCATCGCCTAGCGCCAAGGCGCGGGCTCACAGTCAGGTTGAAAAGGAGTTGTGGGAGGGGTTTCATACGGATTCTAACGTGCCCATCAGGAATGCAGAATGCAGGACACTTACTGGCCGTGTGCCCAACACGAGTTTATCTCTAAACGGCGTCGGCATGACATGTGCCTGATAACGCTCCCCCGAAAAGAACCCTGGGTTTACCAAAAAAGGCAGGCCGCGGACCCCATAGTGTGTTGTTCAGCGATAAAGAACGCTTGGTATCAACACTGAAGGGTTTGATGCAGGTAGCAAGAGCTCATGAGAGAGACCATTATGAAAACTCATGTTTATCTTGCAGGTATCTTAGCACGTAGATCATTCAAAGGTCCCATGACCAGATCCACTTGCACCATGCACCCAAAGTCCAACTCCAGGAAACCAAAGCATGCGGACTGTACCGCAGTCTGGAGGTCAGAAACTGTGTCGTGGGATTGGTGGTTCCAGGGTTCCAGACTTTCTGCTACGCCTATATAACCCCTATATAACCTCAGCCTCCATTTCATTTTTCATGTTCTTGTCCATTTGATTCTCCACGATTGGTATTATTTGTATACTTGGATAAGCCTCGTTCTGGGGAGGCCATGGCAGGCCATCGACTTTGAGCACTTGCCAAAGGTGCCATGCGGAGAGTTTTGTGGCAGGGCCGAAAATTAACCTTGAGGGGTTTAGGGTTGAAGGTTTAGGGTTTGACCTTGAGGGGATTGGGTTGAAGGTTTAGGGTTCAATCTTGAGGGGTTTAGGGTTCAGGGCTGAGGGACGACGTCTTGCTGCACAATGTGAAAGGTTCTTTGGTTGAAGGGCCCAGTAAGGACTCAGATTTCTGTGTCTCGTGGGAGAGGTTTCTGAGCAAAGCTCCAATGACGTTGGCCATAAGATGCTGCAATTGTCTTGGGTCTTGGGATTGGCGGTTGACATAGGGTGTCTCCTGAGGTGTAAATCACAAAGCTATTTAGCAACCTTGCCAGTTTTCCCAAGCCTCCCACTTTGCTTGTACTTGGTCTACCATGACACATCGAACTGGAAGTTCGGATCTTGATAGAATAAAGGAGTGTGGCGCTTTCTCAAACCGACGCTCCAAAAGCCCAAACGTTGCAAATCATAAATCCAGCCAGATCGTCTGCGAGCGGCAGCACGACTGGCAGATTGCAGCTGAGAGGCGAGCGGAGGAGGCGAACTGCGCTTCAAACGAGCCAGTGAGTTTAGGGCTGAGGGTCTTTAGTATCTAGGTTTGCGGCACACGTTCATGCGTTAACGGGCTCAAGGTCTAGGATTGAAGGCCTAGGTTAAGAGCGTGGAATGTAGATGATAGGGGCTCAGGATATGATGCAGAAGTTGAGCCGTAGGGAAAGCAGGAGATGGTTTCAGCAGGCTAGCCTGCCTGTTCCTTAGCGTCAGAAAGTCTACGACGAGGAGATCTGCCGTCATGTCAAACAGGAAATCCAACTGCCAGGAAATCATTTTTCGGGTGCCCAGACTCTGTGAAACCTTGCCACGCCAGGAAATTAGCCTGTAGTCCCTCGTATTCACGGTTGCAGATTGCAGTTGGGTTTCACGTAATGTCGGCCCAGCATGTCTAGGTGGGATCAGTACTCCTAGAACTCTAGAGCCAAAGGCGTTCTCACAATGTCCGACACTCACAGGCGCGGATGGATTTCATGCAGTACCTCCGCAAAGCCTATGGCAACGAGGCCAGGAGACTTACGATTATGTCCCGACAGGTTCAGGGATTGGAGCGGAGGTCCAAAAAGTGTCCTCAACAAGCGCGGTTTTTGGAACATGACATCCCACCATGACCGAGCCACTGCTTATTTCCATCCTTCTTACGCAAAAGGGGTCATCAGGGCTGAGTCCTGATTGCTCAGATGACGGTCTTGCGGCAGCCTCCTCGAAATGTTCCCAGATGAATCATGATTTGCTGAAAATGCCTTGTAGCTTACAAACTCCTACACTCCAAACTGTAGACCTTGGACCTTAAAACTCCCAAACCCCAACAACCAAGACAAAGGGCGCCAAGTAGGTCAGAGCCTGGCGAAGGGCGCTGGACCCAAAAGCCACATATCGCAGTCGACCCAGCAGCGTGTAGGGTATGCTTGAGGGTTTTGGTTTCCGGGTAAGGGATTGAGTTGGTTTAAAGACTCAGGAAGTCATCGAGCAACACTGGCGCATGCAACTCTTCAGCACAATTCTCACACCTACAACACAGCGAAGTCCTAGGGCTAATTACTAGGCTTGACCTGGAATGGCCTTACGCCCTTGCCTGTTCCTAGTTGTAGATGCCTTACATGCATCCTTCGGCCTTAGTTAGGCTACATGTCCCCATCAACAACACTGCAAGGACCAAGGTATCCAAAGTGATCCAAGCCAGGGTGGCATCATAGGGGTTATATAGGGATAATTGAATAGAACATGGAAGCTACAGGGATTTTAGGCCTGAGAGTTTAGAGGTACTCAGAGAACTCTGGATGTACTTATCTTGGATGTTATTTTAGCATGGACCACCTCGATCCCCTACATCGCCAGATCTCTACGCTGAATTGCTGTTTGTGAGTAGTTTCCTACTTTACTCCAAGAACAAACATGACTTGCAATGTTCCATGATATCCAAATCAGCACCTATCACAGTCCCTCTGGCCCAGGCCTTACACTGAAGGGCCTGCGGAAATTCTTCCACGCTGAAGTGAACCTCCGCGCGGCAACCAAGGAGGGCGGGACGGGCTGTTGTTCTGAGAGCCCATATGTACTTTAGTCTAAACTCCTCAAAGGGGGTTATAAAGGGGATTACATAGGGGCCTAGTATAGGGGGGGAGTTTAGGCTATAGCTCATGTACCTGATCTTTTTGGCAGCCCCTATTATTATATGGGGTTATAAGGCCTTGCTAAAAGGGCTACCCTGCAAATTGGGCATAAACGGCCATTATAAGGCGCAGTTACGCCCCTCTTTCAGGATTGTAAGCATCCATTTTTGCAAGGAGCGCCTGAAAGGTGGTGCAAGATTTCCTCCATCCACAGTATCCCTAAACCTTAAACGCTATATACCCCAATATAGTAGTTTCCAGCATCTTTTCCATTATACCTATATAACTCCAATGTAACCCGAATATTACCTCCATGGAGAGTCCCTATCTAAACCCTAAACCCTAAATCCTAAACCCTAAACCCGAAATAAGCCCAAACCCTAAATCCAGACTAGCAAGAAGCCTCAAACGCCCAGGTGTGGACCAAGGGGCTCTTTGGAAGGCCCTCGACCAGGCGCGGCCCTATGTGGTACACACTTCGGGCCCGAAAGGGGCTCTTATGGTCTAAACTCCTTAAAGGGGGTTATTTAGGGGATTATACAGGGGAGCATTATCCGGCTTATTGAGGGCGATACTAGGAGTTTACACTTTAGCTCTAGCATGGGTTTTTGTCTAGATAGATGCTGTTTGGGTGCTTCTTGCCTTAGACTTCTAGATGAGACTACTGATGTCGAAATTGCGCACCAAACAAGTGTCTGAGCCAAACTGACGTTATAGGTTTAGAGCTTGATTGTGGGTATCCTTGAAAGAGCCCAACAGGCCGCTATACCCCAACCCTAAACCCTAATTACCGGCTTTATCCCAGTCTCAATCCCGAAACCCGCTAAAACTTTGAACCTGCAGCCCGGAAGGACGGTGTGGGTCATGTTGGCATCGAGGATCTGGCCCCTAGGCACAGCCACGTCTGGGGCTTAGGGCTTGTGGGGTATGCTGGACAACCTGGGAGAAGGCTGCAAGTCACAAAGTGAACTCTGGGGAGGAATCAGATTCTGTGGAGAAAAGATTTGAAAGAGACATGCCTCTGCAATTCGTAGGATGTAGGAAAGAGCTTTAGGACATCCTTGTAGTTTTGGTTTGTAAGTATTGTGAAGGAACTTCCTCTACATACAGGGTTTGGGTAAAGGGTTGGGACTCTTCAGTGTCCCTGGGAGTGCTGACTCACCTCCTAGTCACGGTGATGTATGCTTTTCCGCAGAGATGCAGTGTTGCGATGACCAGGTCGAACAGATGAATGCCCAACAACTCAATGAGCTAACAAGGCATAGATAACTACTCCTAAACCCTAAACCCTGAGACAAAAGGGAAGAACGTCTGGGAAGCGGCCTGCTTGGAACGTGCTTTTGGTTACCGAGCGCTGCCCAGGTCTTGGCAAACTTTCGCCAGCACGGTGCTGAGCCTGCCTAGGAGGACGAAAGTTACAAGCTGAAACGGATGCAGGGCTTAGGGAGTGGGAAGGTTGCGCTGAAAGAACCTAGGCACTAGCAGCATGCGGGAGAAGTAGCCAACCGGCGCCAGGTTCATGTGAATGGCAAGCCCACGACTCCATGGCAGTTCCCTCTGTGTACGCTGGACTACACGAATTCAGGACGCTGGAAGCAGACATTCTCCACTAATGATTCGAGCATTACACGGCAAGACTAACTGGAACACAGGTACAGCACTAGTGGTAAAGCTTATACATTTCACCTCCTCATCCACATCCTAGGTGGCACTTCCAGGAGTCATGCCCAGAAGACCTAAACTGCCACCTCTACAACTCCGAGACAGTCTTTCAACCCTTAGATCACCAGCTTTGGGCTGGGAGTTTTGTGTCTACTATACTGAGTTATCTAGTGATAATAGAAAATAAAATGGAAACTTAGGGTCGCTATTCCTTTTGTTGGCTGCTGGTCCATCGACCATGATGGAGCAAGTCTATGGTGGCAGTCATGCTACCAACAAAACCACTAGCCATAGCTTGCTCACGTACCCAACTGGACCATTGTGGCAGGTAACTCCCCATTTCAGGAAATTCTGCTAACATATCCACAACAAGACATTTTGTGTGTGTGTGTTTTAAGTTGACGAATGTTTTGATGGTTGGCGATTTGAATGCTGACCTGCAAAAAGCCAGTTAGGGCCGTCTTTCAGGTTCCTGCGCGATCGCTTGGGTTCCTGCGCGTCAGCTTGGGATCATCCAGCAGCCTGAATCTTGGAGGAAAACAAAATGGAAACTAGTATATTGGGGTAATATTGGGATAATGGAAAAGAAAATGGAAACTTGCTTGGAAAGCACTAGTGAGTGGCCTGACGAGGGAGTTGGAGGTCCTCGTAGTGCGAGATCTATTCTGTAAGTGGCTCTACAGAGAGACCGGGCTAGCCAGCCCTCTCCAAATCAAGGCTGTTGCAGCTTGCCTCAGTCCTCAGCGAGATGGACGGAGGCTGGGCTGGACAGTTCTTTGTTCCAGGAAGTGTGCACATTTGCAATTGCTGTGTTGCTAGCTGGAGGTTTAGGTGTGGGCAACTGGTCCTACAACGGCTTCGGCTGCGTTGTCTCATTGTCTGTGATGCTGAACGGGATCAAATCAATAACATTTTCCACAGCCTAAATGCATGAGTCGGAACCATGCTTCAGTATGACGTGTATCATCATAGGTGCAAACGGCACGAAGTGCAAAGTCCGTTCGAATGTGCGACACGGGAAGTATACTGGAGGAAGTTCCCCCCAACAGCAGTTCCTACGTCGATCTTTTGTAAAGTCTCATGATTCTAGATGAGAATTTTGCCAGGTTCCCCAAACTCTAAACCCTAAGACTTCATATTGCCGGATTCAAGGTCCTGATATGTCCAATACCATCACCGTATGTGTGAGAGAGATCATCCCTTTCCGTAAGAGATAGCCAAGGTAGCCTTTGTGGAAAAATCAGTGCTCCCTGAGCCTTCGCGCCAACATATCCCAACTATTATTTGTTAAAACCAGTTGTGAGGACCACATTGACATCCAGGTGGTCGAGGGAAGAAGAGCTCTAGAATCGCTGTTGTAGTTGACCCAAATCAAGAAGCTTCACCCCTCAACCAGATATTGTACAAGGAATTGAAGGAACACAACTTCCGCAGCTTCTGGATACCATTTACCTAGGGAGGATTATAAATCCTTGCATAAACCCCAAATCCACGTAAGCAGTGGTGCTTCTCAGAAAAGTAAATATGGTAGTTTCCCCGAAATAAGGGGACCCCAATATAGGCCCCAATATACTACAATCCTTATTATTGGGACCCCCAATAAGGTACCCCAACTTTGGGGAAATTCCCATATCTCGCATGGTGAGGCTGTGGAAATCCACTCGGAAGCTCCTCCTCGGCCCTTTCCTTCGGGTCGATGCCCCGCATGCCTCATCTGGTCGGAGCATGTGAGCTGATTATATAGGGGGGTTATATAGGGGACTACTATAGGGAATTAAGGGGGATACTAGGAGTTTAGACTGTAGCTCATATAGGTAAAGCGGGCTCTGGGCTGCACTCCTCCTTGCCCAGAGAACTCAACAACTGCATACTTGGTTTCTGTTCAGGAACTTAAAGTTAAGCGACCACAATGGGTACATATATATATATATATGGTAAATAATGGGTTCCCCAAAGAGTAACTTAAATTAAGTTTCTCAACAGCAACCCAGCATAAGGGCCCCGCGAAGACAAAGATGGAGTTTGGAGGTTTGTGGTTGGAGCTTTTTCGGGTCAGCTTTGTAGGAACACATGAGCTATAGCCTGAATTCCTAGTATCCCCCTTAACCATAGAATCCCCTATATAGCTCCCTAACTTAAGGAGTTTAGACTCTGAACCCCAAACCTTAGACCCTACAATAGGAACCCTATAGAATCCCCTAGACAGACAACCCTTTTTAAGGAGTTTAGATATGGCTCACAAGTCGACCTGAGCTTTAATCAAATTTGGGCAACCAGACAGGCCAGCAGCAAAGAGACTTCTACAAAGCCGGAAACCCTTCGCATGAAGCATAGCATGCCACATTGTGCTACAGTCTGTACTCCTTAAAGTGGGTTATATAATTATGGGGGGGGGTATATAGAGAGTGTTATAGGGGTTACTGAGGGGGATACCAGGAGTTGAGACGATAGCGCACATTGCGCAGGAGACTTGAGTTCATGATTCTCTCCGCCCAGCTGCGTTAGAACAAAATTCGGTTTGGCACAACAAACCCCCTAAAACAAGCACGTGAAACTTCTTGTTGAAGGGCTCTTGGGGGAACCATGTCATGAAGGCATGTACGCATCTAACACATGTGATAGCAAAGGATAGTACTTGCACACCTTGATTTCATCTCCCATCTCGAATGATTCTACCGGCTTTTCGTACATTAGACCAGGCATATCATTGCCCAACGCGAAGTCCGTCATGTCTCTGGAGTCTGGGGATCTAGTAGGGGCTGTCGTTCCGGACCTTCTGGGAGCAGCTTCACCAAATCCTTATCAGGAATCTCACGATAGACCGATCTTCCCTGCCAAGCCTCAAGGGCCTCGAGAACAGGGGCGTGACCCTTCAATTAGGCATGTCTATATGGTTAACTTATGTTAGCTTGCGGTGGCAGGGTATTGTGCAGGGTGGCTTTCAAGCCCATGAGTGTCAAACGGATCTCTTCTAAGGTCGTCCGCGAAATCGGCTGGCCGCTCGTGGCCAATCCAGACGCAAGGCTTCTTACGGTTACACTGTGTTTACATCTTGAAAGTACGTACTGTACACCCCCAGCTGTGCAGATAGGGCTCCAAGACGGACAGCACGCATTGGCCAGGACCCTGCTGCTTGCGTCATTGGACTACTTTGGGTGCGCCTTTGTGCCTGGAGCTCGCCAGGGCAATGATTTGAACATGTATGGGTGGCTTGAAGAGAAAAGGATTGCTCAACAAAAGAGTCTCAAGTGTCGGGCCGGTTACTGTGCATCTATACCCCGACACTTCTGTGCGCGGCAGGGTGTTGTTGACCAGCTGTTCCCAAGCCTTCCAGCCTCCGCCGTAAAGCTGGGTCTTTTCTGGCTACCTGGCTTCCCTCTACATCACGATCAACAGGGTTCACGGTGACCACCCTACCAAGTACCCCTGCCATTCTTGCTACCACCACCACCAGAGCCACCGCCACCGCCGCCGCCGCCGCCGCCGCCGCCGCCACCACCACCACCACCACCATCACCACCAAAACCACCACCACCAAAACCACCACCA